TTCCAATTTTCGATAAAATCAAATACCCAGCCTCTGGCAACAGAGAAACAGCATATCATATATAGGGCATTGTAGATCGAATTTTGGATTAATTGTCAACGTTTTTTTGTAGCTTCTTTTTAAATATTTAATAATTTTAATCATTTTTTATAGCTGCATTAAAATATTAGTTTTTTTCTGCAATCATTTTGGGGATAGATTTTAAAATAAAGATATTCCTATTTGAATACAATTTTGTAAATAACAAGAGAAAAAATATATATTCAAAAATAAACATACATATATAATAAACAGTGTATAAATAATTTACATTAGAATACATTTTTTTTGTTTTCTTTCAGCTCTTTGTTATATAATGATATGTTTTTTATTTAAAAATAAAAAATGAAACAAAATAAAAATAATAGTAACTTTTTTATATTTAGATAGATGCCAAAAGAAAAAGTTTGTGTGTTTTCATTACAATTAGCTGCCCTTTTGCAAAGGTATTTCGTATAAGTTGTGTGTGTTGTTTGTTTTTTAAAGAATTTTACAAAAAATATTTATAAAAAAGTTAAAAAAATATAAAAAATATAAAAAAACATAAAAAAACTTAAATAAAAAGTAAATGTTATACTTGAAACCTTTTTTTACTCTAAATTAAACGCCTTTAGTTTTTAAACATTAATATAAAAATAAATTTGTGTTTTGTTTAAATGTGTTAACAAAAAAGAAGAAAATTATGGATCGATAAAATTACATCTTAAAAAAGTGCATTGATTTGCCGTTTTTTGTTTAATAAATTGTAATATAATATAATAAATTAAGTGTAAAAACAAGTTAGCATAAAAGAAATTAAATAGAGATATTTGTAAAGAGATAGAGAGAACAAGAAGTTATATTCGACATTTCGAAAAACTAGCATTTTGAAGTAAAAACGAAACAAAAATTTCTACATACATAAATATTATAGAATTTAAATAATATAAGAACAAATGATAATTGTAATAAATACATATTTGTAACATATATAAATAAATATATATTATTTGCTTTTCCACACTCATTGGTGTTCAATGAAATAAATGAATGAATGCTGTTACTAGTTATGAGAATAGATTTAAATATAAATAGAAAAAAATATATATTTCTATTGAAGTATCCAATCCCCATTAAAAAATCGAATTAAGTTGAAAAAAAAATATTGGCTTCCTGTCTATGAATCTTCTGCAAGATAGCAGCCGAAGAGCTATTATCTATTCAATATCCACCTTGTCGAAGAGACCTTCGACTATATTCAAATTTTTCTACATTAAAAATATGCCAATTGGTAGTAATTGAGGTCTAGAATATGTCTCATGATTAAGTGAATATAAATTGAAAAATTTCTCTAGCTCATAACTAGTTCCGTCATGTCCAAGTAGACACTTTTAATGTAAATGAATGAGAATGGTGTGATGGAATTTGTTTAGGGATCATGATGAATCCTACAAAAGAAAAACAAATACTATTAAGGATGTATTAAAAAATTGTTAACTAATATTTTAAAAGATTTAAATATTTTCAGTGAAAATTTTGATTTCAAAATTAGATATCCTTCAGGGATAACTTAAATTTAATAAATCTTTTAAAATATTAATTAAAATTCATTAATAAAAAAAGAAAGAAAATCAAGAGAAGAAAGATAAAATAATAAATCTCTAATAAAAAGGAAAGAGTGGTGGGTGGGTGATAGTTTCAATGGTTGGTGGTTTATTCCTGTATGTGTTGGTGTTGTGTAGATGTATTAAAAAATATATAAAAATTAAAACAAAATGCAATACAATGATCTAAAATATGAACATCATTATAACATTCGATTATTATTGGATGGTGATCTACTACATGTTTTTTTTCATGGCTATGAGAATGAATTACTATATTGATTTTTGATGTTGTTGTTGTTGTCTATATATATATGTATATATGATGGTTTCCTTCTTTTGTTTCATTCTTTCATCTCGTATATATATTTATGATTTTACAATGATTATTATATACTTTGAATGTTTGGTTTTAAACAATAATAAAAATCAAAACATAAACATTTAGTGGTGGTGATTTTTCTTTTTTTTTTGTATTATAAAGAGGTTGGAAATGGAGTTTGGAGAGAAAAAATATTGAGTTTTTTTGGATTAATATCAATCAGTAGTACATTTATAAGTAGATATATGTAGTATATATGGACAATAAGTGTTATATATAATGGTATTTTTGTGGAGATTTTTTCTTCGGAGAAAAAGTAGAGCAAAAGTTTTCTAATACGTTTACAATTACACATGCACAGACACACACACATACTACTACATTGTTGTACGACAACACGATAGCCAAAAAGGTTTGTTTTATTTTACTTTTTTTTTCGATTTTACTTTTATTAATTTGTTTTATTGTTCTGTATTTTTGAAAAAGGGTGTTAAAAATCAGTGAAACATGTGGTAAATAAAATCAAAAACAATGCTTAAAGGATTTTCAACAAAAAATAAATAAATAAATAAATCTTCTTATGAAAGGCTTGTGTGAGCGGGAGAGGGTAAGTTGAAAATTTTGTAATAACATACACCACCACAAACTTTTTATTTTATATGTGTGGATTTTACAATCCAAAATTGTCGGAATTTTATAGATGTAATAGTAAAACAAAGTCCACTAGAAGTTGAGTCCATATCAACGTATCTCTATTGTCATAAATTTGTCCGATGTCTTACTAGATTTATGCAACAGAGGATAGCCTTCCATTGTTCCTGGGGGGAAAACATGATATGGCAGAATTAAAAATGTCATTCAAGCCTCAAGGCTTTAGTGTAAAAAATGTAACCTCCCATCCTCGCACACGAAAATTTATAAGAAGATAAAACATATTCTACTCCAAGATAATTGGCCATCACGTGCCCAATAGTTTGTTTCTTGTTTTTTTTTTAATCATGGTACATAGGAGCCACAAGGAAAACCGATTAGCAATTTATCATATGAGGCACACAGCAATTGAAGAAGGAAAGAAAATTCAAATTAATGCCTCTACCAGGCTTTGGAATTCGAATTCCCATTTCAAGGAAGCCTCACAAAATTAAAAAGAGAAATTAATATCAATGTAATTCCCACAACTCGTACACGAACAAATTCGTTCGATATCTTTGATACGTCAAGTCACCTTTCATCAGGGTACAACTGAGGGTATTACCCTCTGTTGTAGATATATGATGACCACTTAGGAAAAATACGGCCAATCCAAAAATGTACCAAATTTGGGTGCTGCGGAGAGGCAAGAAGTCATCCAAATAGGAAAATTCCTCAGGAGCTCTCAAATGCTAAACCGAAGTCTCAGTTACTCGTTACGTTTTCCCTCGTAGCTAACTGCAAATCCCTACATATGCATCTGCCAAAGTCATTGGCTGTTGATTGATGGTCATCTCTAGAACAAGGTCGATTAACTGAGCTAATGGTTTAGTCTGATCACTGTTTATAATGGAGTCAAGTTTATCAACTGTGAAAATAAGTATTTGTGAAAATAATTTCTCCTTGATTAATAGGGTTGAAAACTGAGTTTATGAGATTCCTCTATCTTCCATCCGACAATAAATCCGTGTAGCGTTCTTCTGAATTGGACTATGCTACTAAGAGGAGTTTGCGTCTACGAATGTCCTGTATGCAAGGACCATCTCTGCCTTAGGCCTGGATTTTTTAAAGAATATTTTTCAGGAACATTTCTGCCTTAGGCGTGGATTTTTTAAAGAATATGAAAAACTCTCACTCTTAGGCTATTTTTCAGGAACTGACCTTAGGCTTGGCTTTTTAAAGAATATTTTTCAGGTACCAACTCTGCCTTAGTCATGGATTTTTTAAAGAATATTTTTTAGAGACTATCTCTGCACAAGGCTTGGCTTTTTTTAAGAATATTTTTCTGCCTTGGGCGTGGATGTTTTTATTAATATTTTTCAAGCAAAGGCTAGAACGTTCGCTGATCGTTCGCTATAAAAAACTGAAAAGGAATTATTGTTGATACCGATATCGATCCGGTAGATGTCACATTATTATTATGGTGATGTATGTTATATATAAATATTATATAAAAGTCTTCTTGTTGTTGTTTTTATAATATTTATATATATTAATGAATTAAATAATAAATGTAACATATAATGTATAAAAAATAAAACAAATTCCAAACTAAAAAAAAACAAATGTGCAAATGATTTTTATATATATACGATGATATAGCTGTTTTATATATATATGATTGTATGACTAACACATATATATGTTTTGTTTTATGTTTTTTTTCATTCTATGATGTAGTTAAATATATATATGATGTTTATATATGTAATGTATATATATATATATATATGCAATTCTAATAATGCTTATGATGTTCTTTGTTGTTGTTGTAGTTCTTGATATATATATATTTGTTTTGTTTGTGTTTATGTTGTTCTTGCATTTGTTTCCAATGGTTTTTTGGGTTTTGAAATTTATGCGTAGTTAATGTGATTTTCTTTGTTTTTGTTTTGCTACTTCTTCTTCATCATCATCCTTGATTTTTTGTTTTAAATAATTTTTGTTTGAATACAATAATGTAATATATAAATATGAGTGTAAATTGTTGTTGTCCTTTTTTGTTGGTGTTGTTATGAATGAATGAAAAACATGTAGAAAAAAACTAATTGCATATGTTTGTTGTTTGACTGTCGGTCGCTATGTCTGTCTGATGGTGGTTATATCATTTTTTATGCTGCGAGGATGACAATTTTTTTCTTTTTTGGTGTGTGTGTGTGAAGGAATAATGAGTGGATTGGGATTCTGGAGATGTGTGTGTGGGAAATATTTTGTTTTTGGTATAAATGGAAGAAGGTTTGTTTGTTTCCTCGATTTGTTGTTTCTTTTTAACAAAAGAATATACATATTTATAAAAAATACAAAAGAAAGAAGAACAGAGAGATAGATAGAAGAAAAACCTAATAGATTCAAAATCATATAAATCATAATAAAATAATAATAGTAATCATAATTATAATATTTATAATTGTTAATAAAAATATTTGTTTCGTTTTCAATTCAAAAAGTATACTTATATGTCTAAAGAACGACGTCAGGCAGGTCGTGCGGCCTGGCCTAGGCGCGCATTTGGTTTTCATGTACAATTTTTCTTTCCTTATAGTAAATCTCCTCGGATTCTTTGTCGCACAGTAATAGTACGACGGCTCCAAATAGGAAAATGGCAGCACCCCAGCCAACGCCATAGGCCCAGCCAAATTCCCAAATTGGTCGATTCGCTGTAAAAATAAAAAAGGATACGAAAGAAGGCAATTAATAATATAACAAAATAAATATATATAATAATAATTACCCAGATTCAGTTCTCCAGCAAAACATACGGGATAAATTATTAAGGCCGATAATACAGCTAATACTGCAAAATATAGAAAGAAAATTAGTAACAGGAAATGTAAGAAGATTTAAGCTGTAAAGAATATACGCAATCCCGGGCGTGAGTTTTCTTAAAGAATATTTTTCAAGGACCATATCTGCCTTAGGCGTGGATTTTTTAAAGAATATTTTTCATGGACCATGTCTGCCTTAGGCGTGGATTTTTAAATAGCAAACCTATGCGTGGGGTTTTAAAGAATATTTTTCATGGACCATGTCTGCCTTAGGCGTGGATTTTTAAATAGCAAACCTATGCGTGGGGTTTTAAAGAGTAATTTTGAGAGGGCATATCATTGCTCTAGGCGTGAATTTTTAAAGAGTAATTTTGAAATGCCTATCATTGCTCTAGGCGTGGGTCTTTAAAGATGTAATTTTGAAAGGCCTATCATTGCTCTAGACATGGGTCTTTAAAGAGTAATTTGGAAAATCCTATCATTGCTCTACAGTGGATTCTTAAAGGGTGATTTTGAAAGGCCTATCATTGCTCTAGGCTTTCATAAGGCGAGGATTTCTTAAAAAACATTTTCAAGGTCTATCAGTCTCATAAGGCATGGACTTTTCAGAGCATATTTTTCACGAGATTCTGGGTCATAAAGCTTAGATTTCTTAACGAATATTTTTCACGAGATTCTGGGTCACAAGCTTCAGACTCATAAAGCTTGAATTTCTTATAGAATACTTTTTTAAGGGTTTCAGGCTCATCAGGTGTGGATTTTTTTTAAAGAACAATTCATACTTACATGATAATAGCATTACTAATACCGCAATTCTATAAAATTTATATTTTAATGTGTGATTTTGAGTTTTTAAACCAAGTCCGGTTAATATTGTTGCAATAACATCCGTTATTAGCGTTATAACACATAGTACAGCTGTTGCTTTAATATAAACTGTAATAAATTTTCGTGAAAAGAAAAAAAAAAAGAAATATGAAAAACAAAATAAATAAATTGAAAATGAAATTAATTAATTGTGGTCGAATAAATGTGGATGGATACACGTGTCATCATCAAATAATAAATGGCAAAAAAAACAACAACACGAACATGAACATGAAAATAGAAATATGTACTTACAAACATCACGACTGGGATAACAGCCTGGAGGATCAATTATATTAAATGGAAGTGGTGGCAATACATCCTCTTCGATGCAATGGACAAATAGACCTTGACGCCAGCCTTCAGCCATTAGCCAATCGGTGGATGCCAATGCCATAATCATTAATAGTATAACAATAACGCCACAAATAAATGCAATGACCTGTTAGTAGGTGGTTCGTACGTTCGTTCATTCGTTCGTCCATTCGGTGGGCATATTTTATTGTTATTCGATTGAGAGATTCAATTGTGTAAAAGAATAATGTTGCGGCCAGGTCAGGTGGAGACATGAAATGAAGAAGAAATTTGTTTATTAGACACACACACACAGAAAAAATAGCTATTTATTTATTTTTTAATATACAATTTTGTTCGAAAACAATAAATCTACATAATTTACAAATTTATGGTGTGTTATTGTTCTTCGTCACCGCACACCACTCACTCTAACTCCTAAAAATGGACAAATGTAATGAGACGTACATTAATTGTAATGGCTGCCCGCCCGCCATTTCTGGCGTTGGCATTCGTATAATAATTATTGTAAATATTTTTTTAATAATTGAACAAATGTCACCAAACAATGATTAGCTAGATACGTATCGGAATTCAATGGTTATCGTTTATTTGTCAAAGATAAAAATGAACACTGCCTAATTAGTATTCATAACTTTTATTCCTTATTTATGAAAATGTATGAACAACAGGTAATTTTTTTAAAGCCAATAAAATGTAGTGAGGTGTGGATTTTTTAAAGAACATTTTTATTTAAATATATTCAGGACTGTAAAACAATTCAAAACATTTCAATTTTATTTTAAATTTATATATATAAAAGCTTAGTGTTAAGTGAGTGAGTGACTGACTGACAGATCATCGCCCAAACGAAACGGCTGAAGCCAGAAGCTTGAAATTTTGAGTGTGGTTTGTTGTTGGTGTGTAGGCGTGAGATAATGCTGGGTTTTTGGAAATTCGAACTAGAAGGGTACGAAAAGTACTAAAATGTGCCAAATATAGTACCCTCTGTATTAGGCGAACGTGAAGAGCTAGAATTCTGAAATTTGGAATGAGGGTCACTGATGGTAAGTTAGAAAGCTGTACAAAAGGATTTTTGGAAATTCGTAAAGTACTAAACTTTACTAAATTTAGTTCTAATTTTATATATGCTGAACATATATAGCTAGAATATAGAAATTTTATATGGAATGCCGGTTCGTATGTTTAAGAAACTCGTACTTATGTGCATAAAAAGTAAAAAATGGTACTAAATTTGGTACTATTTGCATTTATTTATTATACGGATAGAGATGAAAACATAAAATTTGGAATTCAGATTACTGTTGAAGATTAAGCTATAGAGACATCTTTGTAAATTTGTATTTATGTGTACGAAAAAGTACTAAACGACACTAGATTTGGTACAATTTGGATTTGGGTGAACGGAGAGAGCTGGAAACCTAAAATTTGGAATAATGGTTGCTGTTGAAGTATGGAATTAAGATATGGAAGCATAGTGCTTATGTGTACTAAATGTAACTATATTTTGTACATCTTGATTATGTGTGAACGGATAGAGTTGGACTTTAGAATTTTGCAATTAAAATTACTGCTAGAGTGTAGGATTGAAGTAGATTGGGTAAATAGTACCAAATAATTTACAAATTGTTTTTGTGTGAAATTTTGAATTAAAATTACAGTTGGAGTACAAGATTGAGATGTGCCGGTAGTTTGGAAATTTCGTCATTATGTGTGCTAAATGGTACTAATAGATGGAAAAATTTAAATTTGGAATGAAAATTATTATGAATACGAGAAATGAAAAGTACTAAATGATACTAAATATGGTACAATTTGGATCTATATGAACGGATAGGTCTGGGATCATGAGATTTATGATTAAAATTACTGTGGGAGTGTGGAATTAAAGACGTTTTGGAAACTCGTACTTACGTCTGCGAAATGTAATAATGGTACTAAATTTGGTACAATTTGAATGTTGGTGGACGGATAGAACTGGAATCCCTAAATGTGGACTTAAAGTTATTATGAAGTGCATGACTGAGGTAGTTTAAAAAATCCGTGCTTATGGGTACGAAAAGCTCAAAATTTGGTACAATTTGGACTTTGGTTAACGAGTAGAACTCGAATCCTAAAAGTTGTAACGTAGGTTAATGTGGGAGTGTATGATTGATATAGATTTGGAATATGGATACAGAATGTTACGAAATCTGGTACATTTTGGTGAGTAGACAGATCTGGAGTTCTTAAAATTGGAGTTACGATTGCTACTTGAAATATTGAGATAGGTTTGGAATGTGGGTACCAAAAATTACAGAATGGTACCAAATCTGGTACAATTTGGTTTTTAATGAACAGGCAGAGCTGGAATTCTTAAATTTGGACTTAAGATCAATATTTGAAAGCGGGATTGATGTACATTTGGAAATTCGTACTTATGAGTACAAAAGTACTAAATTTGGTACAATTTGGACTTTGGTGGAATTAAGATTGTTGTTAAACTGTAGGATTGATGTAGTTTTAGATATGTTTACTTATGAGCATGAAAACTTCCAAATGTGAAACAATTTGGATTTGGTTGAATCCGGATATTTCAAATTAAGATTACTGTTGAAGTGTAGTGTTGAACTATGGAGACAACTTTAGAAATTCGAATTTTTATGTAATAAATTTAATTTACGAAGGATATAAAGTGACTTTGGTACACTATTTACCTAAAATCGGACGAAAATATATATGGGAGCTATGTCTAAATCTAAACAGATTTTCACGAAACATATCACTCTAGACTTCATTCACAACGTTATGCCAAATTTCGTGTAAATTGAATGTTATATTGGGACTTTGGTGCACCATCTACATAAAATTGGACGAAAATCAGCCCAATCCACTATAGGTCAAAGCGGCAATTTTTGTGGTCAAAAGTCATAAAATGGAAAAAATAATTGTATTTCAACCAGAATAGCTTTCTTAACCTTCTAAAAGAATAAAGGAACAATGTTTTTAGAAATTAACCATTTAAGTCATTAATGTATTAACCCTTTGGGGACAAAAATAGTTTAATTCATATATTTGATAACATTTTATTTGTATATATTTTTATTATTGTGAATAAGTAAAATTAATATAAATATAATATAAAAAAAGTTAATACAAATACACATAATTCGGGCGGTGTCGAACACCAAGGGCACCCCTCCACTTTGCTACGTCTGTGATTACATACACTATTTAAATGAAGTCCGCTTCATTTTCTAAATCTAAGTCATTAAGAATATTTATATACGTTGTAGTCCGTCTTCATTGAACTCAACGCTCTCATCACGTCATCTGTCTTCACCGTCGAATTTAGTTTTAAAGATTCCAATTCTTCAATAGAATTTTGACATTTAAACATTTCAGTCATTTCAAGCTTTAACATTTTCGCTGCTACATGCCTTTGATTGAGCTAATTGATGATGTTAAAGGATCTAATGTATCCAAGGCTCTAGTAAATATATCTAATATGTTATTCATTAGGCAGCTTTTAGAGCGTGATGTAACTTGTCGGTCTTATACATTTTATGCCTAGATTCAGCAGCATCTCTCCAAGAGAAGAACTCCTAAAGGAAGTACACAATTTTCGATTATCTGCGTCGAATGAATTTGTACCTTATGGACAGCCAAGAATATTCCATCAATATTAAATTACCTGTTTCATAACATTAACTTCGAAATATGTTTAAATCTAATGAAAACTGACATAATAATGAAATTAAAATAAATTTGAGGCGAAATATAAGAATTACCTCTACTCCAGTTATTTCAGATTCATATTAATTCGTATTTCGGTAAATGGTTTAACATATAAAAATGGTAATAATTAAAAAATCCGCACAAATCCACAAAACCACATTAGGTTATTTAGATTAAGGAGGGTTCAATAAACAAATATCAATTTTTATTTCAATTGCCAGACGTTGCCCACGGATTTAATGCTTTCATAACCTCAAAGTTTAAAAATTTCTGCGATCAATCTAAAGTTATGCTTATTTTAATACTATTTTTACACATATACATAATTATAGGTACATTTTATGATGAAAAATATCGAATACTTTCTTATTAATTCTTTACTTATAGTTATACTTATATTTTATTTCCACTTTAAATCTTAACAAGTAACATATCAATGAATAAATTTTTTATGATATTTTAATAATTCACGTTTGACAGCTTGCCATATAATGGTATAAGTGATTATGTAAAAACAAAATTAATTTTTATTTGTTTTGAAGTGTTCCTTACTCGACAATGTGTGAAATTCGACATTTGGCCAGTAAAATGGTCTGTTTGACCTATAGTGCAATCGTCAAAAATAATTCCGGAATTTCTTTATTCTCCCTTTTTCCCCAATCGTGAAGAAAATTCCGCGCGGAAATAAGGGGGGAAAGGAGAAAAAGTAGGCATCATAAGAAAGTTCGATTTGTGTTTCCTAACAAAATATCTCACAAACAAAATCGAAGAGAGGTTTTTCAAATATAAATCGAAATAAAAATAAATAAATTATTTGTAGGTAGGCCCGCCCTTGCACTCTAGCGGTCAGCTCAACTCACACGGATTCTTACGCTCATTTGTTTAGTCGTTGTTGAGACTTCAACAAGTAAACATGTCCATGGTGGTGCACATCATATTGCGGCCACACTTAAGCGCCCCACACACGTCAAACATGTACGTTTGATCGCTGTGAAGCTGATACGCCATAAATGAATCAACAAAACTTTGGTTTTTTTTTAATGAAGATGGTCTGCGATAGTGACGACGCAAAAAAGACCGATCAATTTTATTTATTTTAATTTTTTAATTTAATTCACACCGATGGAAAGCACATGTTTAACGTGTGTGCTAGTCTCACACATACATTTACAAATTTAAATGTCATAAAAAAAGAGATTACGACTTACCTTTAACGGTCGGGTGATTGTTATGGTTTCGATAGTCGTTGTGGGCGCCATTTTCGATGGTGATGGACGTCGTGAACTGTAATTGGGTTTTTATCAAACAGAAAAAACGGAATTTTTAATATTTATATTTTAATTACAAAAAAATAAAAAATAATTACTTTTGCAAAAGCTTTTAACTTAGGTTAAACACAAAAACAAATTGTTAATAATATTAAAATTTTTCTTAATATTTTGTTTATCATACTTACCAATATTTAACAGAATGTTTGTAGTTTTTATGTTACTTATGGTTACGTTAAAAAATTGGTTGTTTTTGTTTTCGTTATGATGACGATGATGGTTGCGTTTTGCAATTTACAAATTTCAATAATTTCAGATCTTTTTGGAAATTATTAATGGAGGATAATGCGTATGTTTTGTTGTTATTATTGGTAATTGCTTATTTTGTTTTGGTTAGAGATACTTCTGTCTTATTAGAATAAAACTTTTTTTATTTGTACAATTGGAAAATAAATTAATAATATTACAACAAATGCTTTTTGAGTTTGCTTCGTAGGTTGGTTGAGTGGTTGGTTGTTTTGGTTTTGGTTACAGGGGAGTAAGTTTTGTATTTACTTTTTGAAGAAGTTTTTCTCTTCTTTTCCAAATTATATTTGGTTAGTTAATAAACATGTATGTATCTTCCGTTTTGATTTACAATATTAGGGGAATTGGAATGCGTTTTTTTGACTAATTTGTAATTGTTAATTGTTCTTTTAGTATTTTTGGGATTGTTTTTTTTTTATGAATTTCAAGTTTGTTTTTTCTTTTCTTTTGTTAAGTATTAGTAGTAGCCTCTTTTTTATTTTTTTGCTTTCAACTGGAATTGTCTTTATTAATTTTGTTGTATTTTTTTTGTTATATTATTGTTGTTGTCCTTAATGCACTTTTGAACACCTTTAAAGGAGAGGAGGATGAAGCATGAATCAAATATAAGTTAGGTAATATTAAAAACAAGATAGTTAATTTAAGCAAAAATATTCCATGAAACGAAACGGCATGAATGAAAGTGAATCGAAATAACAAATATTAAATAATATTATTTGTATGCTTATATATATAAATATATTTTTAAGTATACCATATAACAGCAACATGCCATGAGCTAAACAGCAAAAAAAAAATTTTAAGTAATATTTCCAATCATAAGACCAATCCTAAAACTAAATACTAATAAACATTATTAAAATGTTTAATTTAAAATGAAACCAATAAGAAAAGTAGTAAAGTCGGACTGGGGCGACTATATGATACCCTCTCACCACTTGGGTATATTGTACATATGTATCCTTACAATTGCTTGTCAATGTTCCCTCGAAGGAAAATACTTAATTCGGGCAGATTTAGAGTCGTCTGCATACCATCGAACAAATATATGGAAAATGATTTATAGCAAAATTGATGCATGCTATTCGGTACGCCACACTATTGGAAATTTAATCTTAATCAGACACCCGTTCGAAATACATATGGAAGTTATGGCTTGATCTGTACCGATTTCAACAAAACCTAATAACGTCATTCAAGTCCCAAATTTGATACGTTGTGTAAAATTTCGTGTTAATCGGACAAATGTTAGGAGTTTGGTGGGAAATTTAGCACACATCATTCTAGGCTTAATTCAGTACGCTGTGCCCAATTGCGGGCAAATCAAAAGATATTTAGGGACTTTGTTGCACCATTTACCATAAATCGCACGAAAATATATATGAGAGCTATATCTAAATCTTAACCGATTTTCACGAAACTTAGCACACATCATTCTAGGCTTAATTCAGTACACTGTGCCTAATTTCGTGTAAGTCGAAAGCTTTTTGAAGGCTTTGGTGCACCATTTACATTAAATCGGACGAAAATATATATGGGAGCTATATATAAATCTCAACCGAGTTTCAAGAAATTTAGCACACATCATACTAGGCTCAATTCAGAACGCTGTGCCAATTTTCGTGCAAATCGAAAGATATATAGGGTCTTTGATACAACATTTACCTTAATTCGTACGAAAATATATATGGGAGCTATATCTAAATCTTAACCGATTTTCACGTTCTAGCACACACCATGCCCAATTTCGTACAAATCGAAAGATATTTAGGGTCTTTGATACACCATTTACCTTAAATCGGACGAAAATATATATGGGAACTATATCTAAAACTGAACCGATTTTCACGAAACTTAGCACACATCATTCTAGCCTTAATTATGTACGCTGTGCCAAATTTCGTGCAAATCAAAAGATATATAGGGACTATGGTGTACCATTTACCTTAAATCGCACGAAAATATATATGAGAGCTATATCTAAATCTTAACCGATTTTCACGAAACTTAGCACACATCATTCTAGGCTTAATTCAGTACGCTGTGCAAAATTTCGTGTAAATCGAAAGCTATTTGGGGGCTTTGGTGCACCATTTACATTAAATCGGACGAAAATATATATGGGAGCTATATATAAATCTCAACCGAGTTTCAAGAAATTTAGCACACATCATACTAGGCTCAATTCAGAACGTTGTGCCCATTTTCGTGCAAATCGAAAGATATATAGGGTCTTTGATACGCCATTTACCTTAAATCGTACGAAAATATATATGGGAGCTATATTTAAATCTTAACCGATTTTCACGAAACTTAACACACATCATTCTAGGCTTAATTCAGTACGCTGTGCCCAATTTCGTGTAAATCGAAAGATATATACGGTCTTTGGTACACCATTTACTTAAATCGGATGAAAATATATTTGGGAGCTATATCTAAATTTGAACCGATTTTTCCCAATTTCAATAGGGTCCGTCCTTGGGCCAAACGAATAAGCTGTGCCAAATTTCAATTCGAATAATAAATACGACCTGTACGTTGTTTACAATTTAACATGGGCAGACAGACAGATGGACGGACGGACGGACGGACAGACAAGTATAAATCGACTTAGAAAGTGATTCTATGCATATTCTATCTCATTTCTTTTTGCCTGTTACAAACATATGCACAATGACATAATACCCGGTACCACAGTGTGGTGAAGGGTATAATCACCAAGACGTCGTAATTAAAAAAATATATATTTTTGAAGAGCCATAACAGGCGTGGATAACCGTGGATTTCTTAAAAAATATTTTTGAACAACCAGTATAACCGTGGATTTTTTAAGAGCCAATATAGGCGTCGATTTTTATACCCTACACAACTATGTTGTCAGGGTATTATAGCTTTGTGCAGCCCCAAAAGTTTGTAACGCCGAAATATTGGTCCTATTAACAGGTGCTTACGTATACATATATTTTTTAGTAACCTATTACCACACTGGAGGGTGGAAATTTTTTTTGAAATGTTCCATTTCCCGCTATGAAGAGCCTAAAATGTTAGATGAAGATCAGATAATAATTTTTTAAAAATATTTTTGAAGAAAGCCAACATCACAACACAACCCACGGTGAAGATTTTTTAAAGTAATTAAATATTTTTAGTAACATTTGCCAATTTAGGTCAAAAGTGTGCATTTTTTAAAAATAAAGTTTTTTCATGAAGTTTTGTAATTTAGGCGTAGATTTTTAAAAATACTTTTTCTCTATTATCCGCAACTCAACCCATAAAAATTACTTTGCGGAACTTATATTCTCTTAATTCCCCACCGCCCTAATGAAAATCTCTGATCCGTACTCCTCTTCGTTGTTGTTGTTGTTTTTTTATTAATTTCAAAAGACATTTAACCCAAATTTGGCATCACTTATTTCCCCATTCAAATTGCATTGTTGTTGTTGTCTTTACTCCACAACAACAACAAGTCCCACTATATTCAAAGCCCCCCTTTTATATTTTTTAGATATGCATGGATGAGGATGCATAATCGTTGTAATCAGAAATGTCGTAGACATTTAAAAAAGAAAACAATACCAAAAACGTTTCAAATATCAGTTTAACAGAACAAGAAGAAGACGAAGATGAGAATGAATGAAAATGTGAAAATGTAAATTGGGTAGCTGTAGCAGCAGAAGATGGAGGAAGAATCGAGTATCATTCCATTTTATTGTTGTTATAGTTGTTGGTTTTTTATTTTGTACATTTTCACAACAGCATGCAATAAATGCAACAACTCCCATTACAGCAACAAGAAAAATCAGAAAAAAAAAGAAGGGAGCTCAGCACACACAAGAATTCAAATCTAAATGATTTCAAATGGAAACGAGAAGCAAAAGACAATGACAGCAACAAATGCAGCAGCAGCAACAGCAACATCAGCAATGAAAATGGATGAAGATAACAAATGAAAATAAAAACAACAACAACACAGTATCAGAAGAGTTCAGGCGACAAAACTGAAAACCATTTGAAAAACAATTCATGAAAAAATATGAAATGAAAAATGCCGAAAAAAACAACAATATAAAAAATAAATAAATACGAAGGGGAATTTTTCCCCCCGTCACTAATAGGGTTATAGCACGGGAATAGTTTTTCAAAGACTCACACAAGCCTGGATTTTTTTAAACATGATTTTAGTAGAGTCACAACAGTCTTAAATTTTTTAAAAATAATTTGGCCACTAAAAAGGCTGGCATTTTTTAAAAATAATTTTTGAAGGGCAACCAAAGGTTTGGATTTTTTTTTAAATATTTGTTGAAGGGCCAACGAAGGCTTGGATTTTTTAAAAATAGGTTTTGAAGGGTATATTTTTCTAGGAGCCGTGGATTTTTTAAAAATATTTTTTAGGGGAGTTAATACAGCCGTGTGGGTGGCGTAGAGGATGATTGATACCAAGCAACGGCTCTGATTGGTTTTAACATGGCGAAGCCCAGGCTTATCTTGGTCCCTCTTTCATCTCAATTGTGTACACTGACCTCCCCGGGGTGCCACCTGGGGTTGCTATTTTTATCACCCGTTGAAATAGTGAGCTGATATGTGCCGCGAGTTCACCCCTAAGAACTATAAAAAATGGGTTGAGGCGTCGGGTTAGTTGACCACACTCGGAAAACCCCTCCTACTATGAAAAAGCAAATAAAAAAAGAATACCAAAACCCTCCAATG